CAGGACAGGCACAGGACAGGCACAGGACAGGCACAGGACAGGCACAGGACAGGCACAGGACAGGCACAGGACAGGCACAGGACAGGCACAGGACAGGCACAGGACAGGCACAGGACAGGCACAGGACAGGCACAGGACGGGCACAGGACAGACACAGGACAGGCACATGACAGGCACAGGACAGGCACAGGACAGGCACAGGACAGGCACAGGACAGGCACAGGACTCGCAAAGGACAGGCACAGGAAAGGCACAGGACAGGCACAGGACAGGCACAGGACAGGCACAGGACAGGCACAGGACAGGCACAGGACAGGCACAGGACAGGCACAGGACAGGCACAGGACAGGCACAGGACAGGCACAGGACAGGCACAGGACAGGCACAGGACAGGCACAGGACAGGCACAGGACAGGCACAGGACATGCACAGGACAGGCACAGGACAGTTATTTCACAAATATTATAAAATATAATACGATTAAACCAGTTATTGCGCCTCGTGAAATAACTGCAGTAATCGAACTCGGCGTCGCCTCGTGCTATTATTGTATCAATTGGCACTCGGATGCGCCTCTTAGAATGGCTTAGAATTAGAAACTTAAAAAGAAAAACTAATCACAGCAGTAACACGACTCCTGTCCGACAGTGACTCCTGTGACTCCTGTCCGACAGTGACTCCTGTCCGACAGCGCGACTCCTGTCCGACAGCGACTCCCGGACTCCTGTCCGGCTCATGTTACCAGAAAAAAACGACATTTTTCCGACGTTGTGATCTGATCTCAATACGACACATTTCCAACTGATTGAAAGCCCCTCGTGAGGGGATTGTCTCTAATGGACTAATAAAAATTTATTAACTACATCATAATCATAATAAAACCCCAGTTAAGTGGGCACTCCTGAAAAAACATACCTACTAGAAAATATATCAAAACTAAATAGAAAGTGAGGTCAAATGAAATAAATCGTAACAAACTGCAATAAATGCGAATACGAAGTCGTTATTTTATTGGCACGCCGCAAATTTATAAAAAATGTAATAAAATAAAATTCAAGCAAAAGTTTTGTTCACAAATCACATTTAAAATGGGTTTTGGTTTCAAATTAATTTCACTGATAGGAATTGAAAAACAAATTAGAAACTCAAATCTGGACGCTGGAATTACCCCCAATTAGCAGCAAAACCAATTACGAATTTTTATTTCTATTGGACCTACGGAGGCCGCTGATTTCGTGGATGAGGAATTTACTCGTGGACCACTCATTTACATTATCAACCCCCTTCTGCAGCTTCAGTACTGTTCTCTTGCATTGTGATTTGAAAGCCTTCAGCGATTGGCATGACACTGAATTGAAAGCTTCGTCTATCGATGCGTCTACAAATAGGAGTGGGCCGTTGAAGAATATTGAATTTCTATGTGTGGCAGTAACTAGAGGTGCAGATCTAATTTGTAATTTCAGTCGCATTTAAATTTCACAAACTTACAGGTAATCATGTGACGTTGCTCCCACTGGGCGGTATTATAGGGGGAGGTGCCAGCAGTCGGGATTGTGGACAGTGAAGAGCTGGTGGAAGAGATTAGGTACAGATTTGAAGGTATAACCGTTGATTACCCAATATGTTCACCCAATATGTTGATTACCCAACAAACATATGATTTAATGGCTGATTATCTAATTATTTTGATCAAACTGGGTTCCAGTCTACTGGAACCTTCTATGATCCTTGTTACAACCGAACATGTACTAGTGTATTAAAATCAGCACAATAACTGACTTCGAGAAAATATAGATTATCCAGAACTCTAATATGAACAGTTATTTGAGATATCTTGCATAGATGCGGTTATTTGCGGCATGCGCATTCACAATACAAAAAAGCCACAGTGGATGATGGAAGGTATTTACACTTCCTATACCCCCTATAATTAATATCGGGCCTCTTATGCGAGAGTGACAAAAAGTGCACAGTTAAAAGAAACCCCTGTGAGAAATCGCATTTCTTACCCAACTGGGTCTAATTATTATAGAGGCAAAGAAGAGGTCCGGTACATTCAGATACCCGGTATAGATTGGCAAGATTGACGGTACAGAGAGGTTTTGATCATTGAAATCAATAAAACGATAGTTAAACTACAGCAGGTAAAATCGGTTCGATCTTAAATAGTCCTTTTGTGCTGTTTCTTTATATGGAATTTGATAAAGCTGCATTGTAATCAGTTATGAAACTCTGATATTGTGTGGTTAACCTTTTTCAGGTTCAGCCCTTTCCGCTAAGCTATTCCTAATTACTAAAATATGCCAAGATTTACTGAACTCCAACTTCAAATATTGATGATTTTAGTATTCCCCAATCTAAAGTTTTTCTGCGAAGCATTTTTATCCACGTTTCATGCAAATGCAATTCGATCACTTTTGGCGGAAAAAATATTTTCAAATTTTCGAAATTCAAATTCTCGAAAAAAATTGTAAGTGAAAAATTTTTGAAGTTTTTCTAAAAACTACATTTCACCGTGTTTCAAACGATTTCTATCATTTTGAGCCAATAAAAATGTTTCCCTTTTTTTATAATTAAGTAATTGGTAATTATCCAATTAGTTGATTGTCCAATGTAACAATTTTTCGTACAAAAGTTTTACTCCTTGATAAGATTAACATTATAGGTTAATTTGCAGCCTTCTACGATGTTCACAACTAAAGATATTTGGCAAACCAGAAAAGTGGTTCAAAGGTGGTAAAAAGTGGTAAAAGTGGTGTTTCTGTTGAGATTCAAAATTGATAACAAGTCTAATTATGTTCGTAGGTGTCCTAACTACCATATTCCGTTGAGAAATCCTTGTGAACATTCAAATCCAACGGAACCCTTAAATCGACCACTTTTCCCCTTACTAATTCAAATTGTATTAAAATCAGCACAATAACTGATCCTTCGAGAAAATATAGATTATCCAGAATTCTAATATGAACACTACAGATGTAAAGTAAACAAATGATTAATTTTGAAAGATAAGCGGAAACTGATAAATATAAATGTGATGGTTAAGAAATAAAGATAAAGGCGGGGACTGCTCGTACGTGATTTACTGGTTTGACCAATACGAGGTCGCGTCTTCAGTCACGTGGTCTCTCTCCACCAATAGGGAGCTCTATGTGGTGTGATTGGTCAATCCGCTGGCGAGTAAACTCTCCGGACAGAGTGTTTCCTGATATTATGGTCCGTGTGCTCAGTTCTTTTTTATCAGTTGACCGTTACTACATTACAGTAATGATTTCATCATTTTGTCGGAGAGCTTACACTTACGGTTATAATTATTATCTCATATTTTCTGATTTTGCTGCTAAATTTTAGGTTTCTAAATCGAACGAATTCACAATTTGCAGCAAATTCACGAAGTGTTTATCGTAGATCGTCGTGTAGAATTAATATTTAATTCTGTTTTTTTACTTTACATTTATCAAATTAATTTGGCAGTTGCGTCTCGTCATTCGTCATATTCTTTATTAGTCATTCATATGTAAAGGTAAGATTTTTTGTTTTCCGACTAGGTTGTTTAGACCTCAACCTAGACATTATGCTAAATCTGGTCAACCCTAAATTATACGAAACATTATGATTTAAAACACTTTTATTTCACTGAAAGACAGATAAAATGAATAATAACACATTCCATATAGTTGATAGTAATTTCATAGTAATTAGCATTATAGTAATAACTACAATAACGAATAAGTTTGGTTAGTGGGTGAAATTATTTGCAAAATAACGCTCAATTGCTAGCTTAATATGTTTGTATTGTTATCAGCACAGTGGCGCAATCGGTTAAGCATAAGCCTTATCTGTCTGTCTAGCCCGGACGTAGCGAGATCGAGTCCCGGCTTGGTCAAATTCTCAATGTTTTCAAAAATCGATAGTTAGTTCGTAAAAGTTCACTTATGATTGAGGCTTGTGTATACATGTTTCATAACAATAGAACTAGTCACCCACTAACGTTATTACACAGTAACATCATATCTAATATCGTATAATGCGAGCGAAGTTACTCAGTTTATCTAACAAATGTAACATGTAAGGTTTATCGTCTAATGTACTACCCTCCCATGGGTATATAACAACAGAGCAGTGTACACGTGCTCTTGATAACATTAAGTAAAGGTTAGCCAGGTCACCCTCCTCTCTACTATCCCACACATTACACAGTACTATTACAGCAGGCCACTCACTAGAGGCACAATACACACTGTGACACACTGCAATCTTACTAGCAGTGTTCTTACATCTCATATTAACACTGTCCTCAACTAGTGGTACTACACCCCTATTAGTGTAATCATTATATACTATACCTATATCAGAATAATTTAATTCATGTGTAGCACACAATCTATCTAAATCAATATTAATAACACTTAAAATACTATCAACATTACGATTATTAAAAACATGTATAACAGGTAATGTACCGTGTATAAAGTGTCCTGGTGATTGTGAAGGTAAAATAATATCTAAAATATCTGATTTAAGAGAACATAATTTAACGAATTGATCTCTGATTACAGATAAAATATTCGATAAATCAAACGTATTTCTCAAGTTACTAGATAAAGTAGTACTCTGATGAGGTGCTAATATATCAGTAAGTAGATTAGCTACGATTGAAACATTATCTCTTAATACCGCCCAACCCTGGACAATATCACATGCTATCCACACAATCTTATCTGCTGATAAGTTTTTTAACGTGTTAATCAATAAAGCCCACTCTTCAGCTGTGGTATTATATCTAATTACTGTCTGTATATCATCAACAAACAAATTATAACCACTTAGTACACTAAGTCTAACTGTTAAATATGTGGTATCTGCATAACCTGGTATCTCCACAATAATAACATTACACAAACACTCTGTTATAAGATTAGTTAGTTGTTCGGGAGTGTGATCATATAATTCATCTGTGTGTATCAGTTTGTAATTTATACTAGCGTTATCTAACGCACTTTGATAATGCTGTGAATTGTTCCCTTCTCCAGTAAACTTAAATACCACAACTTTGTTGTTCATATCAGACTCTAACAGTTGCAGTATTTTACCACACAATATGACAGTTTTGCCCGCCCCTGCGGGTCCGTTAATCAACAACAAATTCTCTTTTGACTCAAAAGCATTGTGTTGTTCTACTGTTAGGTTTTCCACATTAGAATTGTTTTTGATAACATCGGGAGCTTTGACAACTGCGGGATTTTGATAACGTTTTTTACCTTTTTTAGGCTCAAAAGTAATGCGACCTTCCTTAAGTTGTTTGTTGACATCCATAATACAACGTCCTAAACTGCACTTGGATTGATCACATTTGTTATTGTCTGTGGCCCATATGGCTAGTAAAATGTTTCTTGCTTTCTCATGAGAATTCTGATTGTATCCAGATATTGGTATTTCTGTATTTGATACTGTTTCTTCAGAAACTATTCTTATAGATGATATGGCCTGAGTTACATTTTCTGCCCACCAAGCATCAAAATTAGACACGTCCTCATCTGTTTTAACTAATTCCCTGTTTGATTGATTATTGTCTGAGTCAGATAGTACTTCTTCTTCACTGCTCGTGTCATCTGTGTCAGTGGTTTTATTGCAGCAGCGAGAAAAGCAGCTTACTATACGAGAAAAATAACTTGTCGCCGAGTTTATCGAGGATTTCTTTGAAAAATCTAATTTGTTGCGACAAAGGTCCTCTTCAAATATAATAGTCGACAGTTCATTATCACTTAACCGGAATTCTGTCAACTCACTAAATTGAAACTGTTCTTTAAACTGTTTACTAAAATTAGGGTACGCTGTAAACTGAAGAATAGTTGCGTCCTTGTCAATACACTTGATCAGTTCCACTATCTTGCTTCTTTGCTCAGCTGACTTCCTGTACGTACCAATCAATGCCTCCAATTTTCTAGTTGTGCACTCAGGTTGCCGGTCCTCGCCAATAGAACACAAGTGGAAGTCTGGTTCACATTCCATCATCTCTCTATCAACATGCTCCATGTTCTTCACCTCGATAACAATGAAACTGTCCGGACAAATGATGATAAAATCGCACTCGCCTTCCTTGCTAAACAGATTCTTGCACTTGTTACACGTTTTTCTGTTCCTAACATGGCTTTTACCTGCACACAGGCAATACTGATCGTGTGTGTAAATAAAACTGTGAAGAACAATAAAGTTTTTATCTAACCCTAATTCTGAAGCCCTATACATTTTAACCTCGGTCTCATAGTCTGACTGATGTCGTCTGTCATCTGTAAAGCTTGGACCAGCTGGTTGATCTTCTTCTGGATATCTGTCTATGTAGGTCTGCTCTGGAGCTCTTGGAAGCATTGTAGGCTGGTTTTTAGCTGTTAAGCAGTATTATTTGAAAATTTGTTCTCCATTCTTCAAATATTCGGCTTCCATCGTAGATCAGTTATTATAATATCTGAAATGAAATCAGCTGTAAGAGGGATTGATGCGGTTACTAAGATTCATATAGGTTCTTATACTATCACACAGCTCTCTTGGCACAAACTTAATTTTATCTAATTTCTGTTAACCTTCTCAATAACTTGCCAATTATTTTAAATGGTTGTTTAGTGCATAGCTTAAAAATTGTGGGTTCGAGATTTGTTTCAGTGGAAGATTTCCTTGTAATTCGATAAAACAGTAGTTGAGTCGCGTAAAAAGCCAGGTGTGCTCGAATAATAGAAGCAATATATACAGGGTTTAAATCGTTGATTTTATTTACATATCACTTTCTTTGTTTTTTCAAAACATTCCAGCACATTGTGCAGAAAGTTGGAGATTAAAAATTTTGACAATTGTGATAAATTAAGCAGCACTACCCAGAGGCAGTACTCGGAAATAAAGATTCGATAAAACTCAGCTAATTGAACTCTAACTAGTTATTAACGTCTAATTTATCCCAAAGTACTAGGTATTGGCTTGAAAGTAACCCTAGGCCTAAGGGGTTTCTAGAGAGTGTAATAAACCTAAACCTAAAGTTGAATCGATTTAAATTCGTAAGCCGTGAATAAATGGGAAAAGCGAGCGACCGATTTCATTCTCGGTATTATTTTGCATTTGAGAACGGTTATTCCAATTGATATCATTTCTTTTTGTTAAGGAAAGGGGGACACTGCAACGGTCCACTCTACCCAAATATAGGTTTTGGTAAAATTATGCAATATTAATTCTGAATGTGAAAGACATTTCATTAAGCTTCCAAAATGACGTACCAATTATTCTAAGTAGCTGTTTAGTCCATAATTTATATAGAATTATAGTGGGTTCAAGGTTTCTTTGTGCCATATGTACACTTACGATCAGTGTTCAAATGAAAACAACCGCCAACAGTTTCATTAATTCGTTTACTAAACACGTGTATAAGCAGAGTATAGTTATTTTTTCCTTTTCACCCTTTTGAAAAAAGGCAATAGTGAAAGGTTACGAATGGAGGTTTTGGCAGAAAAACGTGGATTTTGGAGATCGCGTTAGGCGGGTCTGAATATGGTGTCGTTCCGTATGTTACCAAGCAACGAAAAAGTCGCGCGCGCGCGAGGATTGCTTGCGGAGATGTGATGTATAGATAGCCTGTGATCTATGAATGCGCGGCGCGACTGTGTTTTAATGTATATGATGCATGTAATGTATAATATTACTATTAGGTAATACGCCCAATTTGCACGTGGCACGCGTAGTGTATTGATGTGTACACGAGTATAGTTTACCGTTGCTGATAATTTCTTGAATTACAGATACAAGTTAAGTTCTATACGGCAATTGAACTGAATTTCAAGTGTTTCCCGTATTTGATGCATAATTTATCAATATTATTATCATGAAGATTGAAGTGAGCTGATTGGAGCTTATACTTAAATGTATAGTAAATGTGAAATGGAAATCGAGCGTCCGCCAAAACAAAACAACGGGCGCAATTCTTGTTTCTATTAAACATTTTGTTTCCAAAAAATTTGATGAAAATATATGATGTGATAATTTCTGACCTATAACATTAATTATACTCGTGCGATTAAAAAATTTAAAACCTTAAATAATTGAAGATCGTGGCACTTCCATTTATACCACATACATTAACACATTACCACATTGACATAATATATCCACATTAACACAATACCACAATACCACATTACCACATTGCCACATTACCACATTACCACATTACCACATTACCACATTACCACATTGCCACATTGCCACATTACCACTAATTAGTGACTTGTTGGTGTTTTTGTAATTGACAGTACAGTTTTAAGAAAAGTGCCTGATCTTTACCGCGCATTAATTGATGATTATAATGGACAATAAGAAAATACCATTTTTTGGTAATTTTCCGTAATGCTCTCAAATGTCTTCGATCAAGAGTTTTTCATTATTTCCTGGTCTCGTTTCCAATTTGAAATTTTCAATCCTGGATTGCATTTGTGTTCATACCAAATTATTGTAATTGTATTTAGCATCGCCTTAAGGATGTTCAATGTTCATTGTTGCACCTGAACCATAATTAAAATTGCACAAAAAAGTATTGTATCACAACGCTGGCAAGCATAACCGTTACTGTTTAGTACCTGATATTGAGAAACTGTTAAGATTCAATCTGGCAGGTTTGATCGTATTCTTCTGTTTACTGTAACAGCTGAAATACTCCTCGTTACTTTCTTATAGCTTTATATTCATGGCCGTTGTGGTTTACAATAACACAAGATTAGCTAAATAAATCACTATAAGTTATTTAGAATAAAATATATAATAGTAAATTGATAATGATTGGTGGAATGACGATTTAATTGTCTGGATGCTGCAAAATATTCACGTACTTGAAAATGCAGGGTAGGATATAGTCTTCACAAAATAAATAACAGTTAGGAATTAAGAGGTACGTAGTCTTTTTCACAGAATTGTCTCTTAAACTTTTGAGTTAATCTGCAGTCACTGAAAACGTTTGCAATCGATAACCAAATGTACTCAAAGATTAAAATAGATATTATTTCAAAGTATGATGGCCTTCCTTAGGTTTATTGTTATGATTTAGGTGTAGCTCAAAATCTGCATTGGTATTAATTATTGGTCATGTCCACAAGTCCATGTACACTAATTATAAGCGCATTCTCCTTACTGCACATTAATTGAGTATGATCGACGATAAGATGATATCATTTTTGGTAGTATTCCGTAATGGTTGTTAATTGATTTCTGATTAAAAGTTAAATATTATTGCCTGGTTGTTTTTTCGATTTAAAAATTTTCAATTCTGGAATACATTTGTGTTCATACCAAATTAAATTAATTTTATTTAGCATCACCTAAAAGATACTGATAGTTGAATAATATCGGGTTGAAAGATGTTCAATGTTCATTGTCGCACCTGAACCATAATTTAAATTGCACAAAAAAGCATTGTATTTTATTACCTGATATTGAGAAACTGTTAAGATTGAATCTGGCAGGTTAGATCGTCTCCTTCTGTGTACTGTAACAGCTGAAATACTCCTCGTTACTTTCTTATAGCTTTATATTCATGGCCGTTGTGGTTTACAATAATACAAGATTGTGGTTTACAATAATACAAGATTAGCTAAATAAATCACTATTAGTTATTTAGAATAAAATATATAATAGTAAATTACTAATGTTCGGTAGAATGACGATTTAATTGTATGGATGCTGCAAAATATTCACGTACTTGAAAATGCAGGGTAGGATATAATCGTCACAAGATAAATAACAGTTAGGAATTAAGAGATAGTCTTTTTCACAGAATTGTCTCTTAAACTTTGGAGTTAATCTGCAGTCACTGAAACGTTTGCAATCGATAAACAAATGTACTCAAAGATTAAAATAGGAATTATTTCAAAGTATAATGGCCTTCCTTAGGTTTATTGTTATGATTTAGGTGTAGCTCAAAATCTGCATCGGTATTAATTATTGGTCATGTCCACAAGTCCATGTACACTAATTATAAGCGCATTCTCCTTACCAGTGGCGTAACGTTGCCTGTTGGCGCCCCCCTGCCGAAAAAAGCGCCCCCCTGTTGGCGCCCCCTCCCCTTTTGGTGCCCCTCCCTAAAATTGAACAAATTAGGTGATTTTAAAGAATACGCCGGTAAAATCTCTAAAAAAGTGTGTATCTAGAGCAAAACGCGCAGTTTTGCTAGTACTTTAGTTAAGTTTTCGAAATTGTCCCACATTCAAACGACGACTTGGCGCCCCCCTAAGACGGCGCCCCCCTGCACAGCGGGGTCAGCAGGGCCTTTCGTTACGCCACTGCTCCTTACTGCACATTAATTGAGTATAATAGACGATAAGATAATATCATTTTTTGTAATATTCCGTAATGGTTGTTAAGTGATTCCGATTAAAAGTTAAATATTATTGCCTGGTTGTGTTTTCGATTTAAAAATTTTCAATTCTGGATTACATTTGCGTTCATACAAAATTAAATTAATATTATTTAGCATCATCTAAAAGATACTGATAGTTGAATAATATCCGGTTGAAAGATGTTCAATGTTCATTGTCGCACCTGAACCATAATTAAAATTGCACAAAAAAGCATTGTATTTTAGTACCTGATATTGAGAAACTGTTGAGATTGAATCTGGCAGGTTTGATCGTCTCCTTCTGTGTACTGTAACAGCTGAAATACTCCACGTTACTTTCTTATAGCTTTATATTCATGGCCGTTGTGGTTTACAATAATACAAGATTAGCTAAATAAATCACTATTAGTTATTTAGAATAAAATATATAGTAGTAAATTACTAATGATTGGTGGAATGACAATTTAATTGTCTGGATGCTGCAAAATATTCACGTACTTGAAAATGCAGGGTAGGATATAATCGTCACAAGATAAATAACAGTTAGGAATTAAGAGGTAGTCTTTTTCACAGAATTGTCTCTTAACCTTTGGAGTTAATCTGCAGTCACTGAAAAAGTTTGGAATCATTAACCAAATGTACTCAAAGATTAAAATAGGTATTATTTCAAAGTATAATGGCCTTGCTTAGGTTTATTGGTATGATTTAGGTACAGCTCAAAATCTGCTTTGGTATTAATGATTGGTCATGTCCACAAGTCCATGTACACTAATTATAAACGCATTCTCCTTACTGCACATTAATTGATTATAATAGACGATAAGAAAATACTATTTTTGTAATATTCCGTAATGGTTGTTAAATGTTAAGTGATTCCGATTAAAAGTTTAAATAATATTGCCTGGTTGTGTTTTCGATTTAAAAATTTTCGATTCTGGATTACATTTGTGTTCAAACCAAATTAAATTATTTTTATTTAGCATCATCTAAAAGATACTGATAGTTGAATAATATCCGGTTGAAAGATGTTCAATGTTCATTGTCGCACCTGAACCATAATTTAAATTGCACAAAAAAGCATCGTATTTTAGTACCTGATATTGAGAAACTGTTAAAATTGAATCTGGCAGGTTTGATCGTCTCCTTCTGTGTACTGTAACAGCTGAAATACTCCTCGTTACTTTCATATAGCTTTCTACTAAACCATATTACTGGTAATGTGGTAATGTGATAATGTGGTGATGTAGTAATATGATAATGTGATAATGTGGTTTAGTAATAATGTGGTAATGAAGTATTATGATAATGTGATAATGTGATAATGTGGTGATGTAGTAATATGATAATGTGATAATGTGGTTTAGTAATAATGTAATAATGTGGTAATGTGATAATGTGGTAATGTGGTAATATGGTAATGTGGTTATGTGGTAATGTGGTAATGTGGTAATGTGGTAATGTGGTAATGTGGTAATGTGGTAATGTGGTAATGTGATAATGTGGTAATGTAATAATGTGGTAATGTGGTAATGTGGTAATGTGGTAATGTGGTAATGTGGTAATGTGGTAGTGTGGTAATGTGGTAATGTGGTAATGTAACTTTTGATTTGTTTGGAGAGGCGAATCATACACAGTTTAGGCTCTTGAAATCTTCGAATTAAAAATCATCTTGAGAGAACCTCCTGAATAGAAATAAGTTAGGCTCATATTTAGGTAGAAACAAAACAGACTTAAAAACAAGAATCCCAAAAAATTCGTATGTATGGAAAAAAATTCTTTTATTTTAATTTAAATAAAATTTAACGGGACACCAATCATAATAAAACATAAATACTGACAAAAATTACGGAAGGCAAATAAATTACACAACAAAAATAACTAAACTTATCATCTTATAACTTTTATTCTATTAATCCCCAAAATATTAGTTCTGAATATAGAAATTAATCGATGCTCTTCTCTATCAAGTTCTATTGCTGGACATTTCTTGACAAATGCAACTTTAAAATTAATAAGACTCATGGATTCCGGGTGTTCATTAAAGCAATGCTGCGATAAAGCTGATTTAGTATAGGACTTATCAGCATCTAATTTAAATTTACTCCTGTGCCCATTAAAACGTTGTCTCACTTCAGTGGTTGTCTGACCAAAATAGGTGCTCTCTCCTAAATTACTACCTGTACAAATACTACACTGGGCAACATATATTACATTTTTGTCTCTACAGCTCAAACTCATGTCCAGGATAACTTCTTTTCCATTGACCATTACTTTCTTTCCACTCTCAAATAATAGGGGACAAGTTCCACATTTCTTACCACCACATGATTGGGAGGATGCTGTACGAAATTGGTGTTGGGCAACCCCTCGGCTAAGAGATCTATTCTTTATGACATAGTCATTAATTGCCTCGTGTTTCTTCAGGGCAAAGATAATTCGTACATCACCTATCAATCTCTCTATATCCTCTTTCATGTCATGTACTACGGATTTAAGACTTTTCACCTCTTTGAAGTACTTTGTCGTGAACACCAAGGAACTTGTACTCTTTTCCTTCTTAGGGGCTATTCTGTGTGCTGCACTAGCATTTCTCAAGGCTCTTTCCACTGCTAAAGGCTCCAATTCGTCCAATTTGTCTGCGTTGTGCCCACATCTAGAAAGGTCGGTCTTCAGATCTTCCAAGTCTTTGAGGCTGGTGTGTTCCTGAGAGTTCCTTTTGATGACTCTAAGCAGTTGGCTGAATGCCACCGAATCAAATACTTGGGGAGGGTGGAAGCTAGTAGTGTTCAAATACTGTCTAGCGTCAGTCTTCTTCCTATAGAGTGAGTACTGGATCTGGCCTTCTTCATCTAGGTACAGTTGGACATCAAGATAGTTCACAGTTGTATCAATCTGGGCGTCAGCAAACTGTATTCCGAAAGGTGCAGCTAGTCTGTTCAGCTCCTTGACGAAGTTGTTAAACTGCCGTTCTGTACCTCTCCATCTGCCAAGGATATCATCAATAAACCGTTTCCATAATCTAACCAGACCCCATATACTCCATTCCCTTAACTTAAGTTTCTTGAACAATAACCAATGCATCGATATGTCTGCAATCTGTCTCGATATACAGTTACCTGTTGGTATCCCTTGTTTACCAATGTAGGCCTCTTCCTCAAAGATGAAAAATGACTGATTCAAAATAAAATCACTGAACTTTGACACTACATTCTTTGTTTCAATGCTATGAATTGTGTCTTCCCTGAAAGCGTCATCCATGGCTTCCAGTGCCATTTCCACTGATATACTTGGGTAAAGGGCCACTACATCCAAAGTGAATAACAATGATTTGTCTCCTCTAGGCCACGACTTGTTGAGGTCCTCTACATAATCCAGTAAATTTGGTGTGTCCAAAAGAAATTCTGTCTTACAGT